TTCTTTCAAGTTTTCTCTTTACCTATGGAGTTACATTACTTTTGACTTTTCAACAATGAGATCAAATTCAAGTGTGCATAATCTGAGCTGGACAAGTGCAAATTATATAGCCCCGTCAATCCTTGATCGAATATAAAAACCATGCTTGTCTTCCAAGCCTGCACGAAAGCAACCTGTTCTTGCCGCCGCTCATGCATCCTCCAGCTTCTTTCAGGGTGCTACTCAGTTCCTAGTACAACTAACTGTAACGGCATAAGAAACTACCATGTACTCAGTCCCCCTCAAAATAAAATAATTTCAAAGAGTTAGGAAAAAGATCTCTTTCAATCACCTAATTGGTGGATATATTTTTAGTTTTGAATTGCTGACATGCATTTCCCTCAAGCATTTGGTTGGCTGAAAATATATGGATTCTCGAGCATGTAAATCAGGAGCTAGAAATGCTTATATCGTGGAACATATTTTAAATCCTATAATTGCTTATATTTTAGGATGAAGAGAGTAGTATTTTTGCTCTTGTCTTCACATCTTACGGCTTCTTTGGAACACATCATTCTCAAAATACGGGTATAAAATAATGCAGGCTTGAAGTGCCGTAACACCTCAAATACTACAGGTAGACCATTTGGATGGAGCACAGAAAATACGCATGAATCGTAAGAGAAATAGATGCAAACGATCTATCTTTTTCCCAAGTGGTTAGACTTCATTTAAAATTTCCTCTAAAATCCTTATGTTTTGAGCCAATCCAAAGAATTTCGTAGGACTTTTTGTTAGGGTTACATATGAAAAATTTTCGTATGATTGAATTCTTATAAGAACACTTTCTGAAGGAGGCCTTAGATTCTTCTTCTTCTAGAGGTAGAATTCATGGGCGTGCTGTTGGGATACGCGTAGGCTATGATAGCATAAATCAAAATTTTCTATCGCGTAAACCAGGAACCATGCAAGTATTAGATCATAGATCGTTACCACTAGACGCGTTGAGCAGCGGAAAAAGACGTTGAGAAGTCGAAGGAACTCTCGCGAAGTAGCGCGCGTCGATGTAGATGAAGTAGTCGATCGCACCGGCTCGACCTTCTCCTCCTCGTGCGTTCTCCTCGCCGTACTCCCACGCTGATCAGCACCGCAAACCAGCGGTGCCTCTACCGGTATCCACACGTACAGGGACGGATCGCCACGTGCAGATGTGCTAGCACCCGCGCGCGGCTAGGGTTTTGCTCGGGGAGAACAGTGACGGCTAGGGTTTCTTACGTGATGCAAATGCCTCCGCCGGTCACACCTCTCACGAATATATAGGATCCATCACTCGGGCCTCCAAGGCCCGTAGGACTCCTATTCGGATCCCTATCCGAATTAAGCTCATATTGGATCTCTATCCAATCCCCTTATTCCGGCCCATTAACCGTGCGACCCTGTAGGTTCATATATACTCGGCTGTAACCCGAAAACTCCTTTTCAGTCCACGCGTCAACAGTGGCCCCTAGCAGAACGTATTGACCCACCGGGCATACATAAAGATCATATCGGCTTAACCTCTAGTGTATACTTGTATGAACCCTTTTGCCTCACGATATCGATTAAACTCAAGGCTAGATATGTGCCATCCTCTAATAGCTCAATCATTCACTCGAACCTGTTGATAGATTATATAACTTGTGATATTAACTCCTCAATCACCTTTGGCATGGCCATGCACTTCCATAATCTACAACATCGAGGGGCCCAGAGATATCTCTCCATAGGAGGGGCAAATCCCATCTTGATTATTCATATCCCACTACATGTTTCATAGCATACCCGAGAACTACTTTTATAACTACCCAATTATGGAGTAGCGTTTAGCAGTCCCTAAGTAAGCTACTACACATGTTGAGAACCATGATAATCTCAGGTCTAAGGATTCAATAGCAACACTCAATGAGATCACTGATGACACAACACATATGGCTCTTGCAGTGTCTCATGTTGGGTCTATCTAACAACATGTTCACCAACATGTGTCCACATTATTAATTTGGTATCTCTATACCATGATCAATTAATACATGTGCTGATCATATAAACATATTTGTTCCACATATGATATTTGATCAGGGATCCTTTAGAAATAGTAACAAACAACATAAAGAGTCTCATGAAAGAATCACATATTCATTAACCAATAAGGAGTTATCTATTTCAAGGAACAATGTCGGATAAATATGTAAACATAGTATGTGATACAATCATCTCTATGATTGCCTCTAGGGCATATCACTAACAGTCTCCCACTTGCACTAGAGTCAATCATGAATGTATATTACACCCATTGCCCTAGTTTGTGCCTCATGCTTAGGCTGAGGGAGTGGCTTTGTCAACGGATCTGCAACATTCAAATCCGTATGTATTTTGTGTATCTTCACATCTCCTCTACCCACTATCTCGCGAATGAGGTGATACCGCCGTAAAATGTGTTTGGACTTTTGATGCGATCTAGGCCCTTGGCTTGCGCAATGGCACCACTATTATCGCAATAGAGGTCCATAGGGCTAGAAGCACTAGTCATCACACCTAGTTGAGAAACGAATTTCTTTATCCAAACAACCTCCTTTGCTGCTTCAGAAGCGGCAATGTATTCGGCTTCTGTTGTAGAATCAGCCACTGTATCTTGCTTGGAACTCTTCCAACTCACAGCGCCTCTATTCAGGCAGAACACAAATCCAGACTGCGATCTAAAATCATCTTTGTCGGTTTGGAAGCTTGCGTCAGTGTAACCATTTACAACGAGCTCTTCCTATCCTCCATAGACTAGGAACATATCCTTAGTTCTTCTCAAATACTTCAGGATATTTTTTACAGTTATCTAGTGACTCTCACCTGGATCTGATTGGTATCGGCTTGTTGCACTAAGTGCATATGAAACATTTGGACGTGTACATAGCATAGCATACATAATGGATCCGATTGCCGAGGCATATGGGATCACACTCATCTTGTTTCACTCATCAGTCGTCTGAGGACACTGATTCTTGCCAAGATTAATGCCATGTGACATCGGTAAGAAACCTTTCTTAGAATCTTGCATGTTGAACCTCTTCAACACCTTGTCAATGTATGTACTCTGGCTTAATCCAATTAGCCTCTTTGATTTATCTCTATAGATCCTTATGCCCAGAATATATACTACTTCCCCTAAGTCCTTCATTGAAAAACTATTTTTCAACGATGTCTTAACGGATTCAAGCATAGGAATATCATTCCCAATCAATAATATGTCATCTACATATAGGATTAGAAACACCAATGCGCTCCCACTAACCTTCTTGTATACACAAGGCTCTTCTTCATTTTTTACAAAGCCTAACGCCTTGACTACTTCGTCAAAACGAATATTCCAACTCCGAGATGCTTGCTTCAACCCATAAATGGATTTATGCAATTTGCATATCTTTTTAGCTGATTGTGGATCAACAAATCCCTTGGGTTGTGTCATGTACACATCCTCATAGAGATTTCCATTGAGGAAAGCTGTTTTGACATCCATTTGCCATATCTCATAATCGAAATAGCCAGCAATCGCTAAAACAATCCAAATAGATTTTAACATGGCGACTGGCGAGAAAGTTTCATCATAATCAACACCTTGAATTTGTTTGAAACTTTTCGTCACCAATCGTGCCTTGTAGATGTGAACATTTCCATCTACATCTGTCTTTTTCTTAAAGACCCATTTGCACTCAATGGCTTTTACATCATCAGGTGGATCAACCAATTTTCAAACTTGATTGACATGCATGGATTCTATTTCGGATTTCATGGTTCCAAGCCATTTCTCAGAGTCTGGTCCCACCATTGCTTTCTCATAGGTAGTAGGTTCATCGTTGTCTAACAACAATATATCACATTGTACTGTAGTTAACAACGCATACCTCGCAGGTGTACGCCGTATCTTTTCGGACCTTCGTGAAGCCGGTGCTTCCACAACTGGTTCAACAACAGCTTGTTCAACCTGTTGAACAACATCTTGCTCAGCTTGTGGTTGTGTGGACGTTGGAGCGTTTTCTGGTGTTTCCTGAATTTCTTCAAGTCACACCATGCTCACACTATCCTTTCTTGAAATAAACTTTTTTTCCAAGAAAACACTGTGTCGGGCGACAAACACTTTGCCCTCTTCCCGATGATAAAAATAATATCCTTTCGTTTCCTTAGGATACCCCACAAAGAAGCATTTATCTGATTTAGGTGTGAGTTTGTCTGATTGCAAACGTTTTACATAGACCTCACAGCCCCAAATCTTTAGGAAAGACAAAATGGGACGCTTCCCTGTCCATATCTCATATGTTGTCTTATCCACTGATTTTGATGGAACCCTATTTAGTGTGAACGCAGCTGTCTCTAGAGCGTAACCCCAAAAGCTTAGCGGCAGATCAGTTTGGCTCATCATTAATCGCACCATGTCCAACAATGTACGATTCCTCCGTTCAGACACCCCATTCCACTGAGGCGTTCCTGGCGGAGTGAGTTGTGGAACAATTCCACACTCCTTTAGATGATTGCCAAATTCAAGGCTCAAGTACTCTCCACCACGATCAGATCGTAGATACTTGATTGTCTTGCCCAAATGATTTTGTATCTCATTTTGAAATTCCTTGAACTTTTCAAAGGACTCAGACTTATGCCTCATCAAGTAGACATAACCATATCTACTAAAGTCATCGGTAAAGGTAATAAAGTACCCAAAACCACCTCTGGCAGTTGAGCTCATTGGTCCACATACATCAGTATGTACTGGTCCCAATAGTTCACTTGCCCTTTCACTTTGACCCGTGAAAGGTGCCTTTGTAATTTTGCCAAGTTAACAAGATTCACATGTCTCAAATGATTCAAAATCAAACGAGTGTAGAAGTCCATCTCTATGAAGCTTCTCCATGCGTTTCTCATTTATATGACCCAAGCGACAATGCCAAATAAAAGTGGGATTCAAATCATTAGGACGTTGCCATTTTGCATTAATGTTATAGACTGAACATCCATCAAGATTCACAATGTATAAGCCATTCATCATGGGTGCATGGAAATAGAAAATGTCATTATAATAGACTGAACAACCATTGTCCATAGATCTAAAACCATAACCCTCTGCTTGCAAACAAGAAGCAGAGATAACGTTCTTACACAAAGCTGGAATGCAATAACAATTATTTAACTCCAAAACTAATCCTAACGGTAAAGATAATGGCATAGTGTCGACCGCAACAGCAGCAACTCTTGCTCCATTGCCCACGCGAATGTCCACTTCGCCTCTTGCTAAGCTCCTACTTCTTTTCAGCCCCTACAACGATTTGCATATATGAGCAACTGACCCGGTATCAAATACCCAAGAATCAGTAGAGGAAGTAGCAAGATTAATTTCTATAACATTAATACCTGAGGTGGAACTCTTTCCATCCTGCTGCTTCTGCTTGAGCTGCTCTAGGTATTTCTTACAGTTTCTCTTCCAATGACCTGTCTCCTTGCAAAAGAAACACTCTGCATCCTTAGCGGGCACTGTCTTTTGAACCTTGGTCTTAGAGTTGCTTGTACTCGTGATCTCATCAGAGTTTAGCTTTCTCTTTTGACCACTCTTCCTGTTGTTGGGCTTGCGCTTATGCATAACCATCACATGGTTGGAGTTTTTCTTAATGCTTTCCTCGGCAGTCTTTAGCATCCCATGCAATTCTGCCAAGGTCCTGTTCAGGTTGTTCATGTTGAAATTCATTATGAATGGCTCAAAACTGGGAGGGAGCGACTGGAGAATCAAATCAGTAGCCAACTCTTGGCTAAGGGGAAAGCCAAGCTTATCCAGACTCTCGGTGTAACCAATTATTTTGATCACATGTGGGCTCACTGGATTACCTTCTGCAAGCCTGCACGCAAACAAGGACTTTGAGGTATTAAACCTCTCAGCCCTTGCTTGGTCCTCAAACATGTTACGTAGTCCCGTGATTATCGTATGAGCATCCAATGCCTCATATTGCCTTTGAAGCTCAGGGGACATAGTAGCAAGCATCAGACAGCTTATATCAAGGTATTCATTGCATCGCCTTTCATGCTCCCTACGTTGAGCGGCAGGAGCATTGTTGGGAAAGTCAGCTGGAAAAGGCTGTGTAAGCACAAACTTTTTGTGCTCTTACCTGAGAACAATTCTTAGGTTACGATACCAATCCATGAAGTTTGTTCTAGTCAACTTCTCTTTCTCAAGAATAGACCACAAGTTAAAATTGGATGGTGCAGGAGCTGCCATGATCTACAATAGAAATATATGTATGCAAAATCAGCATCATATTTACATTTAACCTTTGATTAAACAATTTAACAAAAGATACTCCCACTATGTATTGTGAAACAAAATTCCCTCTAGTAACATAGTGAGTCAAGATCCTCATTTTATTATTAGTGTCTAGTGAGCTTTGGAATCACAGCTAGACAACTATCAAAATAGGTAAGCAACGCCTTGCTAATCACATCATATGTGACTCTTGTGCTGTTTTGGTGACATCTCCATGTCCAACCCAATCTATGCCCCAAGGTCCAAAAGTGACGGGTAGGGTTTCTTACGTGATGCAAATGCCTCCGCCGGTCACACCCCTCACGAATATATAGGATCCATCACTCGGGCCTCCAAGGCCCGTAGGACTCCTATTCGGATCCCTATCCGAATTAAGCTCATATTGGATCTCTATCCAATCCCCTTATTCCGGCCCATTAAGCGTGCGACCCTGTAGGTTCATATGTACTCTTGAAATATAGAATTAGCATCTGAAACTTGTATTGGTGCCTATCACTGATCCAAATAATTGCCGCTCCATGCACTGACATGGAGCCGTTGTAGATTCGGTACATGTACCGATTGCTCCAATTCGACGCAAAGATCGATATGGAGCACATAGAAAAAAACGCATAAATCACAAGAGACATAGACACAAAAGATTCTTTTTTCAAGAGGTTAGACTTCATGTTAAAATTAGTCTAAAATCCTTGTGCTTTGAGCTAATGTAAAGGAATTTTTAAGATTGCTGGATAGAATGAACTGCATATGGAAAATTTTCATAGACCTGAAATCCTCCTAAATTCATCGAAGAACCATTTGTTCCGAAAGAACACTTATAATTTTCTTCATGAGGAGATAGAATACTGTGCACAGCAGCTAGCACCCAAGGCCAGCCCAGAGCATAGTGCACCACCTTGTGTTATAAGTGGTTATGCACCCCCTAGTTATAAGTGTAAAATCAAAGGTGTTTTTGATTATTATTCTATGATGAACAATTGGCATTGGAGATTATTGGTTTTGTTATTTGGAATTTATTCACAAAGTGGTTTTGGAGATGATTGGATTTACAGGTGAATCGCAGGTTCTATTATTTTATGTGATCGGTCAGACCGGGCTCTGGTAGCCAGTCAGACCGGCGTGTATCACGCGGTTAGACCAGTGCAGCCTACGGTTTGACCGGCCGACGCTGTGTCGGTTTCGGTTTCGGGTTATTAGTTTGGATATCCGTGATTATTTCATGATTCTGGCTTCTAGATGGATACTATACTTATGTAATACTGTTGTTTGCTACTAATGAGTCAAGTTGGAGATAGCTTGGTCTCGGAATATGGTTTCTTTGTTTATTCCATGTGTAGGTGACTCGATGCCTTGGGAGAGTATTTGCGGTGACGGACCGGGAGTCGGCTTGGGGATAAGACGACGTCCGTGGTGGTCAGAGATCATGTGGAATACTTAGGCTAGAGTTGATGCACGTGGTTGATGGAGATTCCATATGGCATACGATGGAGGTATTGTGTGCGTATGGGATGCGGAGTCAAATTTAGAAGGAGTCCAAATTTGGTACGATTGGTTATGTAAAGTTTCTTTCTTGTACTAGAGGGTTTCCTAAGGTGTTTAGGACTCTTAGTATGAGTTTGGTTCGTGGCTTTAGGCTGCCTACCTCATGTATAAATAGAGGGGGAGCATGAGGCTTCCCGGTATCGCTTTTGAGAGCAATTGAGTTGAGTTTTGAGTTAGGGTTTCGAGTTTAGTCGAAATTTTTGTAAGGAGTGCTGATTGTGCACTTTGTAAACACAGAGAGAGAATCAATAAAGTCGTCATCCACTTTAAGAGTTCTTCGATTTGTGTTTACCGGGTTTCGACGGTCCAACCGGCGATATACCGGCGGTCAGACCGGCGGCAAGCGGCGGTCAGACCGGCGGCAAGCGGCGGTCAGACCGGCGGCGACGACAGCGAATAGCAGCTGATCTCGGCGGTCAGATCGGAGATCTAATCTTGGTCAGACCGACGGCAACCATGCGATCAGATCGGCAAGACAACTTCGGTCAGACCGCGATCCGTCGAATTCGAGGGTAACTTTTATTTCCGCTAAAAGTTTTTCAGTTTTTGGGTATACCAACCATTCACCCCCCCCTCTAGTTGACTTAGTTATTGTGATTCGATCCTATAATAAGTGCTTATAACTGGTTCGGAACCCCCCTAGTCCTGGTTATGCAACCGGGACTACGAATCTGGGACTAAGATACATCTTTAGTCACGGTAAAGATGGCAGCGCCACGTGACTGGTACTGCCATCTTTAGTCCCGATTGGGACCAATAACCGAGACTAAAGGTCCTTTTTTCCCTTTTTTTTGTTAATTTGCTTGCAAGTTATCAGATAATTAATCACAAATTCATTCACAACACCAGCAAATTATCAGATCATCACAAACTCATTCACAGAAACATTAACAAATACATTCACAACTTAGAAAAATTTGCACATATACATTCACAGATCAACAACATCCACAACATCGCCACTGCTGGCCGGCCTCCCATCCCGCTGCATCTCCTCCGGCCGGATCTAGCGGAGGAGAGGATAAGGTCGCCGGCCACTGCCGGCTGGCCTCCCCTCCCGCTGGACTTGGCGGGGAGGCCGCGGCCGCCACCGCTTCCACCGCCGGGCCGCCGCCGCTTCCCCTGCCGGGCCACCGCCTGGACACTGCGGTTGCTTCCGTCGAGACAACAAGAGAGAGAGAGAGAGAGAGATAGAGAGAGCCAGAGAGAGCAGAGGGAGAGATAGAGAGAGCAGAGGACAGGGAGATCGAGAGAGATCGGGAGAGACAGAGAGAGCGAGAGAGAGAGAGAGGATCGAGGAGATCAAGAGAAAGGCGTGGGAGATTAAAGAGGTGGGGGGATATTTCTAGTGCCGGTTGGTGATACCATCCGGGACTAAAAATCCCTGGGGGGGCTTGACACCGCCTAACAACTATTGAACCGGGAATAAAAATGACCTTTAGGTTACCAACCGGAACTAAGGATTAAAAAAAATTGGTTGGGCTTTTTAACCGGGATAAAAAAGATGTTTAGTGTCGGTTCCTATTCAAACCAGGACTAATGTGGTTTTTGGTCAACCCAGTAAAGATAGTTCCTCCAGTAGTGCTGGCTACTCTCTCATCTCACTTATGCTACCTCACCTCCCTTCTGTTTGCGTTGTTTGATATACGTTTAACTTGCAGCTGGCCTTTTAAAACCATGTTAGCCTGAGTATTTTCTAATTAATCAAGAAACTTCTTAGTTGGCTTATTCATGGATGGGGTGGTAACTGCTGATAATATATACTTGCTCGACTTAATTATCCATTGGCATCTATAATATTGTGATGTCACTTATGGCATTTTGTGTAGGATTTTGATTTTAGGGTGACATGGAGAAGAGAGAGGAGGGTTTTCTATGTAAAGTAAAACTGCGCTCTTTGTCATTGATAGTTATAAAATGGCATATCAATTTGGGACCATAGGAGTTGATATGGGGTGTGGTCCTAGTCTTCACAACAAAGGATAACTAGCTGCAAAGAGACCAAAATAACTAGCTGCAAGCAGCCAAAATACGTAGTGCAACCTGCCAAATAAAACTCGAAGCTAACCACCGTCTTTAACCAGCAACCTGAATCAAGGATTCGCCCAACCACTACAAAGAACTAACCAACACAACCAACAATCAATCGATAAAAACCTCAAAGGCAGTAGGAGCAACAATTGGGAGCCGATAAAGTGGTCGCTTCTATAATCCCACAGGAAAACCACAAGAGTAAAAGAGGTAGAGATCAGTATCTCAATTTGTTAGCATATAGCTGAACTAAAGGTGTTCATTTTTTTTATTGTCAAAAGTCTTCGAAATGATAAAACACAGGGGATATTTATACTAAGAATAACCATCCTAGATGGGGATGAAACAACTAATGTAATTCGGTGAACTGGGCTAGCTCAAAGGCCTCCTACAATCATTCCCGAGGAGGTTCACGTAGCCTTTTCAGCTTCTGTGTAGCTATAGTAAAATAGTCATTACTCCGTCATGGTAAGTAAAAACGATGAGCCGTTTGTTGGAACTGAAAGTAGACTCGATTATCTTTTCGAGAATATATAATATCCATGGGGAAACATAACTTTCTGGATCGCATATCGCTTGGAGATTGTACCATCTGCGCATAATCGTTCTGCACATCTAGCAGCAGCCACTAGTACAGAATATAGCTATGGCAACACATGGCAGTAGCACATTCTAAACTGTGTTGCAGGGAAATAAACCAGTAACACATGCTTTGTGTTCTTAGCAGATCCCGTAACACATTTTTAGTAGGGTGAATAAATGTGCTACAAGGATACAGACAGTAACACAAACATGTGCTACAAAGCACCTCGTAACACATAATATATGAGTTGCACAAATATGTTACATGTAGATGGTTTATCAATCTTACAATAACACACTATATGATTATCAAAAATAGTGTTGGCTGTGATTCTTGTTCAATATTGATAGATTAATAATTTGATCGTGTTGGTAAAGAGTAAAGCATGGGGATAAAGCAAAATTATCGAAATATATATCCTTGAAATTTCACTAATTTTGTCCTAGATATTGAAACAAAAAATTGGTACTATTTGTGGAAAAAAACAAAAAGATTTGAAAAATTATAAGAGTAGAAAAAAAATGTGGAGCACCTTTTCTATTTTTATGTCACAAATGTCACAAAAATTACAAGTTGACGTAGAGTTCTAGAATATATTCTTTATACAGACAATATTCAGGTTAGTTCCTTTCTATGAGTTCAAATCATCCAACTTATTTAGTCATTATATAAATATGCATCATACAAGTTAGAAATCTCCTGTAACCACTCACATTTTGTAACAAGAAAATAAATTTACCATCAGACAATATAATTGCTCATTTCTCAAAGTCCATGTTCACAGTCTAGGAATGCACAGTCCAAAAGACTTAAATAGAACTAGAACAAAGCTACAGCCTACAGGTAAAGGGGGAATAACATGAGGCATTGCAACAGTACAAGCCTTGCAAAATCACAGCTACAACTAGGTAACCAATAGACTGCTTGACGTAGGCCTTGCCACATGTGAAAACTTCATTTGTTCTCTACTGACTTGGATAACTATTAAGTTTTTACCATTCTCTTCCAGCATCTTGTATTGTTTATTCCTTTCCATACCTGTAGGAGCATGTGCATGACAACGCGGTTTTAATTTCCTAGAGAAAAACATTATGGTCAATTCAGTTGCATTTAAAAAGGATAACAAAGCTATAGAGTTCAATTTTAGTGTCAGCTAAAATTAGATTAAAAAAACAGTCTTTACTTTCCACACATACAACTCAATGCATTCTAGTTGGGTTTTGCAGTATGTAAAAAAGATAGATTGGCTTTATGACATTTGGTGATGCATAAATGTATTAAGATATTTATTAAAACCAAACACGGCCTATACGAAATCTAATACTTGGAGTTCTCACTGCATGTATATTGTGTCATTCAAAATCTTAATCAAATGAAAAAGGCTATGGTACATTGAAATTAATGATTCTGATAATCCAGGATTGGTTGCTTATATTTGTTCCTCCATATGAAACAAGAAGCATGGCACTGCAGAGAGAAGGTACCAATGAGCATAAGTACTATAATATAAAAATTTCAGACCACAACAGGAAAACAAAAGAAAAGGAGCAACTGATAGATTTTTTTTAGTACATCTTCTATATATAAATTTGAATTTAGAACCAAAAGATTATCTTGAGCAGACACTACAAAATTATCTTGAACTAGTACACTGAAAACATATAAGTACCTTGAATGGAGCTAACAAAGTACCAAAGTACCTCAGTGCCAAGTCCATTATTAGCATCAACCATTGTTCCTTCAACATCAGCTCTAACCCAGTGTTGATTGTTTGATTGATCGAATAACTCCCCGAGGTGTGAAACATGAAAAGGCTCAGCTTCCATCTCATCTATCCATTCCTCTTTGCCAGTATCATATATGTCCATGGGTTTCATTTTCCTTACTACAGACCACCCTGGGTTCATTGGGTCATCCACATAAAACACTTGATCAGCTTGGTTAGGAAGAATAAAAGGCTCATGCTCAATTTTTTCTCCTGTATGTATAAGATGTGAGAAGTTGACAAGTGTATAATCATATTTGTCCTTTTTAATTCCTTTTCCAGAAATAACATCCACCCATTCACATTTAAATAAGACCACTGAAAATTTTCCAGAGTAGTTCAGCTCAATAATATCTATTATCCTCCCATAATATGTAACATCACCTAAAATTGGATTAGCGTCACTTGCTTTAGTGTAGCTAGATTTTTTTGCAGTTAGCACAACCCCACTATTTTGTGTCACTCCATCCAAGCGTTTAGGCCTAAATCTGAAACCACGAGTGTTAAAAGCACGATATCGTTTGGCTGCATCAAGTGGACCACGGGCTAGCCATCTAACATCTTCGTTGACAATGTGCAAGCCATTCTTCCGCTCCAGATCCATTATCTGTACAGTGAGAACTCATTTAGGTGATGACTTGAGTATTATATATAAATAATCTGAAATTCTGTACTTACATGTGCTCTAAACCATTCATGGAATTTCTCATTTTGTACACGCTCAATAGTTTTTGGATTGACACCACGTCGAGGATACGTACTTGCAATCTGATCAGCATGAGCTCTGCAAAATATTTATAATCAACCTTCCTATCATAAAAAGGATAACTAAACATGCTTTAAGGTGCAGGTCATACCGCAAGTACTTATTAACATCTGAACAATTGAACAACACATATCGATGTGCTTGTACTTTAGCCATACCCCTTATAACATAGTTGCTAGGCTTTCCAAGTGGTTTTCCAACATGAGAAAATATTGATGATCCTTGTTTCACAATAGGATAACTATCTAGCTCATGTGTATCATCATTCCTCGAAGGACGGTTATGCTTAGTCTCAAAACCATCAAGATATCGTGAACAAAAAACCATGCACTTATCTGCCAAATATGCTTCAGCCATTGATCCCTTCGGATGAGCTCTATTACGCACATATGACTTCAGCACACCAAGGTACCTACAGGAAGTCAGGCAACACAAAGAAAAAATTGTGTTAAATATGTTGCTGTAAAATAAAGAATACATCCTAATATTTGAAAGAGAGAAATACCTTTCAACAAAGTACATAGTACGAAAACACGCAGGACCACCTAATAATGCCCCAGTTGCTAATAAATGACTAACCAAATGCACCATAATAGTGAAAAACCCAGGTGGAAATATCATCTCCATATGGCACAATGTCAATTTAATTCTCTCATCTAACTTCTTAAGCTCATCTATATAATGTACTTTTGCATTTAGTTCTCTGAAATACCCACATAGATCAAATAAGACAGCTGTAACATTATCAGGAAGTACACCTCGCAAAGCAAGAGGAAGAAGTTCTTGCATAAGAATATGGCAATCATGACTTTTAAGGCCAGAAATTTTTCCTTGCTCAACATTTACACATCTTGAGATGTTTCCTGCATAGCCATCTGGAACCTTTATGTCATGAAGTACTTTACAAAATTGTTGTTTCTCATTTTTTGGACATGGTGTAAGAAGCAGGAGGCAAGTAATACTTGTCATTAGCACGTCTTTGTGGATGCAACTACGATCTAATGTTCATATCTTGCAGATCTAGTCTAGCTTGTAAATTGTCCTTTGATTTGCCCTCCAATCCTAAAAGTGTCCCACATATATTATCACATACATTCTTTTCAATATGCATGATATCAAGGTTGTGACGGAGCAAATTAATGTCCCAGTAAGGCAAAGAAAATAGACCACTAATACCCTTCCATGTTTTTGACTTTTCAAAATCTGGAACTTCTTGTATCTTCTTTAGAGTTGAAGTTCGAGAATATGCAAGATGAAAATCCTTTCCAGGATAAGATGGACCAGGAATTATTAGAGAAAGCATTAGAGAAGAAGCTTTCATGCATAACCATGGCGGCAAATTATAAGGTATTAAGACAATAGGCCAACAACTATAACTTGAACTCATCGTTCCAAATGGATTGAAACCATCACTAGCCATTCCAAACCTAATATTATGAGAATCTGATGCAAACTCGGGAAACTCAGAATCAATTGCCTTCCAAGCCTCTGAATCAGCTGGATGACGCAATGCCCCATCCTTTACACGTCCCTCATCATGCCATCTTAATGCTGCAGCTGTTTCTTTGTGCATGAAAAGCCTCTTAAGCCTTGGTTTGATTGGAAAGTATCGCAACACCTTCCTTGGTGCTGCCTTCTTTCTTTCCTTCTTAGTTAATTTAGTTTTATCCTTTTTGTTTTTCCATCTTGAAGCTCCACACTTAGAACAAAAGTCATCATTAGCCTTGTCTTTCCGGTATAGTTGGCAATTATTTGGACAAACATGAATTTTCTCATAACTAAGCCCAAGTTTTCCAATTATCTTCCTAGCCTCGGAAAATGTTCTAGGTATATTGCTACCATTTGGGATTGCTTGTTGCAAAATTGCTAGCAAATCATTCAATGATTTATTGCTCCACTTGTTAATGGATTTTCTATGGAACAAAAGCACAAGGAATGAAAGTTTTGAAAGTTCACATCCCGGCCAAAAAGGTTGGTCGGCCTCTCTAATTAAGTCAAAGAAAGCTTGGGTTTCAGGGTTGTCACGACCGGAAATAACCCAACGGGCGTTCCTTACGTGCGTGTATTATTTCTTGTCCCAGGAGGCAAGGTACACCAAAAGTTGATACAATATAGAGTTTAATAAGCGAAAGTGTAAATAATTAATTTATTACATGGGCGGCGAAGGCCCAGCACACAGGAAGACAAACGAAAAACAGCGGAAGACTAGGGCGATGACCACAGGCGCTTGACGGCAGGCACGAGCTAGACACCAAAGCCTTCATCTTCCAGGAACTCCTCTTCTGGGTTTGGGAAAAATTGAGCAAGACTGAGTACAACCACCGTACTCAACAAGACACACCCACAAGTGCAGTATAAATGCAAGGGAGTACAAGGGACTTATAATATAGGGGGTTAGGGTTTGCAGTAAACAGCATTAAAAGACACTTAGTTGCTCAAAGCTATTTTGTAAACACGATCCTAGAGCTATTCAATATTATTAATCAAGGCCGTGAACCCACACGAACCTGCCTTAACCCAAGGCCTACGATGATTCAGACCGAACTGGCAACCCGACCCTGGGTCCCAGCTCGTCCCAAGCCAACCCAGGCCAACCATTCCATATTTTAGTTGTTAAGCAGGTTTTAAGAATTAAAACACTAACTTGGGTACATTGCTAGGCTTGCCCATAACCGAGGGCGCGGCTATTCGAATAGATTATACTCTGATCAGAGGTGTACATCTTTACCCACAAGACACATCTTCCTCACGTGTAACCACATGCCACATACCACCACGGTATACGGACGGAGGACGTGACATAGTTTCCAACCCATCCTAGCCATAGACAAGAGTACCGACCCAACCCCACCTACGGCCGGAACCTCCGGGACAGGTAGGCAGGACTGAGCCCTTAGCAGCAGGACACCGGCCCTGTGCCATGACATCTCGACTACCGGGCCGCAGCTCGTGTAGCCTTCATTTGCCCTAGAGATGTCCATCGACCCCCGACTTCGTCCATCTCCATCCGTGTACTTTTGTTTATAACCAGACTGAGCCACAAACTAAGCCTTACCCACTAGACATGTGGAAGTACGGTAGTGCTTTGCAACAGAGGCCCGAAGACCGGTCCTTATATGGCCGAGGTGCTACTATCAAAACCATGCACCCCGAGCCCAGCCTAAAACCATTTTGAGGATTTTGAATAGAGGGGGAGGTGTGAATCCAAATCCACAATAATCCAACCGTTCCATAGTGTCCAGGTGATGAGAATATTCCCAAAGTCTAGAGTTGTAAAACCACCTAATGTTGCCTAATTAACCAGCGAAGCATCTACCTAAATTTATACTAGTGGTACCATGAATAGAGTATCCACTAGTTGGGGGTTTTGTTTATTCTAGGGTGGACAAGGTAATAATAACAATAACAATAATAAGATCATAACAAAGGTAAATAGGCATGGCTAAATAAAACAGTGATAACGCGGGAATTTAAATAAAGCGATAATGCAATAATTTAAATCAAAATAATTTTATAAACTGGAATTCAATATGTTCAAGGATGATGTGACTTGCCTTGCTCGCTTTCCCAAACGTCGGCTTCAACCTCCACGAAGAGCGGATCTTCCGAAGCTGCAGCGTCTACACGACTAACGGAAAGGAAAAAGGCTTTTACTCTAATAAACTCCATATAACAAGAAGGAACAAAGCACAAAAATGGGTTCTTGACTTCTTAAGGAAAAATTAGAGACTTGAACGGTCCAATTCCGAGTTCAAATGGCCAAGTTATGGCCATTTGAAGTTTATATGCTCTTTAAATGAATATTTGCGAATTTCTTTATTTAAATTTTAATTTAAAAATTGGTTTACTGCGTCAGCCGAGGGGGAGGGGCGCGCGGACCGGGTCCACGGGAGTGGGGCCCACGCGGCAGCCTCACGGTCCACGGTGGACCGGGTGCACCCGGGCTCACACCGGCTGGCGCCGTGGGCCCCACGCGTCAGCCGCACCCGAGGGCGCGGGCGGCTGACGGCCGGGCCCCACGCGGCAGCCGCTCGACGCGCCCGAAGGTGGCCACATCGGCGTAGCCGGCGGGAGGCGGCGCGCCCGCGCCCCTATGGTCGCCGGCGGCGGCCATAGGCACGGCGGAGCGGCGGCCGAGAGAGGGGAGGGAAAGGGGGAAACGAGGCGGCGGTCCACGGCTCACCCTAGGTCGACGGCGACGACGAAAAAGGCTGCCGAAGCGGAGGAAGGCGGCAGCGCGGCTCGGGTCGACGGGGTCGGCGGCGCTCCGGCGGTCGGCGAGCTCGACGAGGGGGTGGACGGGGATGGCGGCGGTGCGGCGAAGCCGGAGAAGGCGACGCCGGGGCGGGAAACGGTCCCGGCGAGCGGGGAGAGCCGGCCGAAGGTCGTCGGCGATGGAGGAGAGAGAGGGCGACGGCGCGAGCTCGATTCCGGCGAGGAGACGGTGCGGCGAGGGGCGGAAACGGGCGCGGGAGGTGCGGGGAGGGTTTAAATAGGGTTGGAAGGGGGAGAGGGCGGCCGGGAGAGGAAGGAAACCGGCCGGGAGGTCCGGCTGCCATCAATGGCGCCGGCGAGATTTGCAGGAGCAAATCCGCCCGTTTGAATGCGAGAGAGAGAGGGGAAAATGGGGGGAAAGGGAGAGGGGATCACGGGGAATATTTCCCCCCACTTTATTGCACGCGGGGACGGCGGGAGGCGACGGGATTCGCGGCGGCGGCGGCGTTTGGCGCGGGCGAGGCAATGGGAGCGGCGGGAGGGAGGAGATGACAGGTGGGCCCCACCCGTCAGCGAGGGTGGCGGGCGGGCCCGCCCGTCAGCGGCGCGCGCGCGGGGAGGGGCCGAATGGGCCGCGGGGAAGAGGAGAGAGGGGGAGGGAAATGGGCCGGATTCGGCCCAAGAGAGGGAAGGGGATTTTTAGGGTTTTTCTTTTTTATAAAACCTTTTTAACTTTGTTTATTTCTTAACAATTATTATTTGTGCTCTAAAAATTCCACTAAAATTTATTTACACATTTTAGGCTTTTAGGAAATATACAAAAATCCTCTAAGCCTTATTTGGTCTTTTACTTTGCACATTTTAATTTTTGGACGCTTTCACACGGATTTTAATTATTCTAGGCATAATTTAAAGGATATATTTTAGGGTCGTTTTGGGACGTAACAAGGGTATGGTCCTGTTTCAAAGGAATTTTGGCAAGTAGATGAATTCATTGGATGTCCATTATCCATATGCCCAAAAGCATCTATGACTAACTGGTGCATATTAGTTTTTGTTTTTTCTTGCAACTGTGCCTCTCTGTTAGCAGAGATGAATGCTGCAGTTTCACCATGACAGCCCCAAATTGTATATTCTTTTAGCATTCCATCACAAACTAAATGATCATACACTTCATTCCGTTTCCGTAACCACCTTAGAGCACATTTGACACATGGGCATCGGATTTTCTCTCCAGAACTTTTCCCATTGTATGCAAAATCAAGAAAACCATCTACACCAGTCAAATAGTCATCACTTGGTCTAGGGGAAAGTAGTAACTTCTTAATAGTGGCTAAATCGACCCATTCCCTGTGTTTAAAAAAATATAGTACTTATTCAAATAGGGCAAGCGTGGTAGAAAAACCAACAAGTGCATCCAAACACAGATGAAGAACCAGTGTTCTTGTTGACTATCGAAATGCAAGAATACATGGGGAGGGAAACCATACCTGGTGGATTGGTGCTTGGATCCTTTAGCCCTTGTCTCCATAACAGGACCAGACAAGCTGCAGGGCAGCAGGCTTGTCTAGAAGCTCAATCCAACGGGCTTCAGGGAAATGGTTTACCCAAAGAAACTAAGGATTCAGAGTTGGCGCCTAGCAAATGAGATATGAATGAATAAAAAATTTAAAGCATAAAAAATCCTTTGTAAAGTAATTAAGCAATGCTATTTTCTTCTCCATTGCAATTTGCAAATATACCAGTAAATCATATACAAATCTCCTCACAACCTCATTTGTCACTATACAATAAAGAACAGAATAGAGCTCACTCACTGGATGCAAGCAAGCCTCATGCCGCAAGAAGCAATGTGGCAGGCAATGAGTCAAGTTGGGGCAACGAGCAAGCTGGTAGCAGCTCTTCCTTGGCTCCTGCCTACTGGTTTGTCCGGCCGGCACACCTGCACGCCTGCACGGCCACGCGCTGCGCGCCCACGCTTGCAGGCTGCTGCTGCGCAGCCCACTTCCCTTGGCCGCCTCGCTCCGGTGGTCACCTGCGCAGAGGACCGACGAAGAAGAGCTAAACTGCCGTTGATCTTCTGGGTTGGGTTGTGGTGTCCACCGAACTAAGATAAGACAAGATTTGGGGATTTTCCTTATACCTAGCAAGCATATGGTGTACTGGTAGGTGGGTGGTGTGAGAACAGAGGTGCTTCAGTGCTTGTAGCTTTTCAGAGATGCAGTAATCGAGGAGGTAGGAGAGTTAAGACTGTTTCTTTGTTATCTGTCCTCAGTCAAAAGGACTTGGACTGTTGGAGGGAAATTTTCTCTCCCGTGAGAACTTTTTCTTTCTCTTTCTTGCCCATACAAGATTAAATAAAATTTGGAATACAAAATAAAATAAAATCGAAAATTATAAATAAAAACAATATAAGGGTTTAAGTAGGAATAAAATTTAAAAACTACTGAAATTCGAAATTAAAAATAAGCAAATTTGAAAGAAGAGTCAATATAAAAACCCAATACGAGATTAATTAAAATTTAAAATAAAAAATAAATCCAAAATTAGAAAATAAAAAAGAAAGTTCAAGTAGAAATACAATTTTGAAACAACTGAAATTTAAAATAAAAATAATGAATATTAAAAGAGACCATATAAAACACAATACAAGATTAATTAAAATAGATCCGAGAAGAATGAATAGATAATTTCGTATGGGTGCTAACCACACAATTGAGCGGGCCACCCTACTAGTTTAGATGAAAATGGATAATTTTCAGATGGTACCGGAAATGGAAACGAATACTAATATAATCTTTTCAGAAACAGGAACAAATATGGTAAGGCCATTATCCATCGGAAATAGGAAATGGTTGGAAACTATCCGGAGTTCTTTTTATGGATATCCGCAAATAGTAACTAATTTTCTTTATATGCATAACCTTTTCATATCAAGTGGGATGAAGACAAGCTTGTGTTAACCGTGAAATTTGGTATATTCCATTAAGTAATTAAGGAAAACGTAGAGCAAAGTCGACAGCGTGAATTTAGGGTCTAAGATTGTATCAGCTGAGGCTGATGGGTCTATATCGGATGGAATGCATCGGCTGCGAGATGATAGAGTTAGACGACGAGGGATGGATGATGGCTGAAAGCTCACTCTTTGTCGGACTTGGTTCTGGAAAAGATAGTGGTGAATGTTGAAAGGAGACTGAGTTTGAAGAAAGTACGGCAATGCTATTTATCGATTAATTTTAGGATAAGTTTATTATTTTCCTTTTATGTTTTAGGAAAGTTTATCTCATGCGCGAGGGGATAGCTCCCATCTCAAGTAGCCGAACACAATGTAAGTCAACCATGGTCAGAGAAACAGGAAACGGGATGAGTTGGACGGAAAGGGTTCTTACAGGAACAGAGGGAAGATTTGGGGTGCTAATAAAGTAAATTAGGAACTTTCAGAATTATAAAACAAAAAAAGAGAACTTTCGATGCCATAGAACCAATTTTGTGAATATAAAACCCCCTCAAATTGAGCTTCCTAAATATAGAACTTCGAATAGTTTCCAACCATTTTTGATTTCCGCTGGACAATGGTCTTACCGTATTCGTTTCCATTTCCAAAAACAATTACAAAATTAATTTTCATATCCGCTACTGTTAGAAAATTATCTATCCGAGACTATCTATTTCCGAAAATGTGTCCGAATATCGGAAAATATATGAATCATTTTTATCTCTAATAATGGCTACTAAAACAGGCCAAGTCTAAAGTTCGATGCACCAATCATCGCCACGCACTCGCGCGGTTGCCTTGAGCTACTTGTTTTATATAGGACCACCGATTTATTTTACTAATTCAAAAATTTAAAATTTATAGTACGCATTCAATAAAACAACAATTTGTAATATAATACATCGGTATGAAAACTAAAGTAAATTATCCACATAAGTCTAAAAAATAAGAAAAAAGAAAAAATAATATTAATATGTACCTTAAACTGAAGAAAACAATATTAATATGCTACATGGTTGGTTCTTGTTTAGATAAGCATTATATTGTAGTGAGTACTTAGAGTGCTGTAGTAATTTTTAGGGATCAAATTTAAAATTTTAAAAAGTCTAAAATGTTTGAACATGCCATTTCAAAAATCTCCAGAACTTGAATTTTTGCACACAAATCTCCCTCTCAAAATACTTCCCGCTAACGTGAAACCTTAGCTTCCCTCCAAAAATCCCAAGCAATTAGTGTGTCCCTTCAACTTCCCATGCACCATAAATAATTGCTGCCTCTTCGTATCCTTAACCCAATCGTTCTCACATTTCCTCATTCCCCGTCCTCCCACCTGAACAAACTCCCCCATCTCCATCAAGAGCACTGCACACAGCATGGCTTCTCCTGTCCTCCAGAACTATGCGTCTCCTGCACATGCCCTGTAGCTTCACCATGAAGACATGTTGCTAGGCTGCTTGTGACTTCCTGAGACAATATGTAAGTGTTTTTTTCTTCTCTTGCTCGGTTATTTGTAAATTATTCTGAGGATTTGAGGGACTATAGGGTTCTAAGGATATAAATCACAGGGTAGTCCGATCACTTATCATTTTCCTCTCCATATTCTGTGACTATTTATGGGCTTTGCATGAAAAGCACTAATTACTATAACTTCATTTTGTAGCATATTTTCCAGAAACATTGCACCAATTTCCAGGTGAAATGGCAAGAACGAAAAGGTTGAATGTAGTAAAAATCAGTGCCAAATACAAGAGTGGAGATGGCAATATCAGTGAACATAACCCATTGCATGAGTCACAAGCACTAGAAGATGATGAGATCGAACTAGAGCAGCAAGATGATGACTCCTTGAATATGTCAGGTACGAATACAATGAAGAAAGCTAAAACTAGTAGGACCAACTAAATGTTTATATTGAAAAACTGGGCTTAGCCACTACTGTTCTTGTTTAATTTTACAGGTGAGAGTGCCAAAGAAGACAAACGTGGAAGGACAACTTTAACACATATTTGGAACCTTCCAGAAGGCAATCACATAGTAGTGAAGTGCAACAAGCTTGGACAGCCCATTGGAGCAGAAGGTGGACTGTTAGGAAAATTTTTAGGCACAGTGGCAAGAAATGGGTCTTACTGTCCATTTGACTTGAAGGATTGGAGATTGGTCAAAAAGAATGGTGGAGCTGAAACAATACTTCAACTTGTGGAGGTATGTGTGACTGAGCAAAAATCTAGGCATATTGCTCTGAATTTTAAATTTACTGCTCTGCCTTTTATCTCTTTCCCACATGAATATAATTTACATAAAGCAGTCATAACATAAAAAACATAACATATTTATTTACTTAGTATATCTTACTGATTTTAGACAAAGTTCTTGTACCCTCAATCGTGCAAGCAATGGATATTGAAGTCAACAGGGAGAGATTGGAGGCGATTCAAGGCATCACTAAAGACAGCTTATTTTCAGCCTAAAAAGAAAAGATCTGCTTTGTATAAGTTGTGTCCAGAAGATATCGATTATGATCAATGGGTTGAACTTGTCAAATTTTGGAAGTCAAAAAAGGGAAAGGTGATACAACTGCACATTATTTCGCTTACAATTTAATACTCTGCCAATCTAAATTAATGATGTATGATATGGTCTCATTAATAGTGCACTGTGTTTATAATAGGCCCTTTGTGAGAAAAATAAAAGCAGTCGTGCCATGATGAAGACAACACATACCGCAGGGACAAAGAGCTACGCTCGTTGGGCTAAGGACATGGTGAGTAATCTTGTTTTATTCAATGTTGTCCTATATAAGTCACTCATATAACTGGTGTATGTTCTATTATTTTCAGAGACAAGATGATCCTCAAAAGAAGCAGCCGCATAGAGCCATGGTTTACTTAGCAACCCACAAGAAAAGGGCCGAAGATAGAAATGAACACCTGGTATGCTATACACATAATATGCTACTACAATTAAAAACAAATTATTATTTGATCTGATCCAATTTTTCTAAACTGTTAGGCTGAGTTGGAAAGCCTCATGGATGAACAACCTGAGCTGGATGAAGATGATCAAGGAAGAGTTGCATGGAAAGGTGATGCCTTACATCAAGTTTTAGGTGAAGAGAAACCTGGACAAGTGCATGGTATGGGACTACTTCCAGTTCCCAACCATGTTTATGGCCAAACATCACACCATCTCAGGAACATTAATATCACTACCGTAGAGGGTACACCACATGAAGTAGCGATACATATTATTGATGATGTGGAGAAGTTAAAGGAGCATGCACAGAAGCAAGATCAGCTTATTCAACAACTGCTTAAAGAAAAGACTGATAGGAAAAACAAACAGGAAAAGGTGTCCTTGAAAAAAAAAAAGCTAAGAAAGGTACAAATTTTATCTGAACCTTCATACAAAAATTAGTTCTAAATTGATATCTTTTTCAGGTCAATCGACTAAAAGGATATCATAGCAACTCTCAGCTACAAGCAGTACATTCTAAAAGAAAGGTAATTGTTATAGCTTCCAACCAATAATGTTATTTTGGTTGTATTATTCTTACCTTTGTTTAAATTTAGAGAGTCCAATGCGACGCAGCTGATCGAGAAGACCTCCTGAGTCAGCAAAGATATCCATTCAAGGTAATATTTGTTACTAAATTGATTCTTGCCCCATAATTCATAGTACTCATATGTACGCACGTGCGGAAACACAACCATTAACTCTAATTAAAAAATATTGTGTCTACATTTAACTAAAGAATCATCAAATTCTGATCGACTAACAGGACATATATGAGGACGATGACTTGTCATTCTCTACTGAAAAGGTTAGCAAAGGGCACTACAATTATTTTATAGCAACAAAAAGACTATAACAATATGATAAATGATTTTTATGACAATTCTAGTATCATAATGATGCAAACCAGGAAGAACCCCATTATCAAGAAGCACCACCATCACCATGGTCCGCTCATTCCTTTCGACAAGAAGAGGTAAATGTTTTCAGATATAGTGTGATATATATGCGTCAAATAAAATATTTTGTTGTCACTCTCTAGAAGTAAGGATACGACATGATGAAACCCTAGCAATTGTCTTGGAACTAGTTAATTGCCTTATTTTGTCTAGGGTGTTTCAGATTAAGCATTTAAATACCTGAAAAAATATAACAAAGCTGCAGGCATTGTAATTTAATAGATCTATTTGTTCAATAATTTTCTACTGTATCACTTCAATAAATTATATAATGGTTAGTTTATAGTATTTTATCTATTTTGAATACAAGCTTACTTTTCTATATTTGTCTACCATTACGAGTTTAGCTACATCATAATGTACACAAAATTTGTTCCTATTTATGAACTAATCTCTATGTATATAAACTCCCCAATTTTATTTCCAGTATGAACAAAATAAACTATCTTGAAGATAGCCAAATGATGGCATCATAGGTACATATTTTTGTAGATATAAAAAAAATACCATACTGTGACTTTTTTGAGTATCCATACTGATACCATGTGACAAATACTATTTATTTCACTGTAGATGGCTAAAGAAGGGCAGAAAATGTTCGTAAAGAGCACGGACAATGCACATGATCAAGTGATTCAAAGCCGTGTGCGTTCAAAGAAGACGCGCCCTTCACCAATGGAGGTAATAACACTGTGTTCCTTTTGCATTACTGTGTGTGTTAAATGTTAAATATAGGTTGTTGACTAAATGTTAAATATAGGTTGGTTCCACAGTATTACTCATGACAGCAAAATATCCAAATAAAGAAGGCGTGGCATATGCTAATTTGTTGAGCTGCAACCCATATTCACATGTAGGTGGTGTTGAGATAGGCAACCATTTTTGGAAAGTACGAATCAACCATCCTATTCGTAAAAATGAGGAGCTTGTAAGACCATTGGATCATTGCAAGACAATTAATGATGCCCATGCCAAAGGAGTGGTGATTGCGTGGCCTTCAATATGTGTATGTTAGTTGTTTCTACCTTGGTTCATGTAACTTAATGTTTTGCTGTACATTCTAGCTTAACAACCAAAGTAATGTTTGCTACGTGCAGGTTTGGAAGATTAATGGTTGATTTCGCTTCCATCTCACCCTATGGATTGATAAACCGGCAAAGACTTTCAAGAAGAAGAAGAAGAAGACGAATAGATTATCATTTTGTTATATTTTAGTATGAAAGACTGTTATTCTGAAGACTTGCTTTTCTCAAATGGATTATCATTTATGTTTTGTAATGATGGGAAGGATGTTTTAACTATTTTGTTATGCAATGCAATCTTTATTTTCACTAAATGTGATGTGAGTATTTTGTGAGATATGTGGTGCTTTTGAAAGAAAATAATAATGTCAATTAAATTTTGTTCCTTTAACCTGATCGTGTGTGTGTGTGAATATGTATATACTAAAGTTTGTTCCCACAAAATGTATTGGAATAAGGAAACATGTTGCTAATCATATTACATTTATGTTACTACAACTCAAATTATGTATTCCTGGGGTACTATGCAGTATCACATAATATGTGTTCTTATAGGTGATATTTGTGTGTTACAAGGTAGCAACACATTCTTAGTTATATAGTAATACATGTTATATGTTGCAACGTATTGTACCAGTAACATGGCCTACAAGAACACTTATAGATTGTGTTACTGGGAACGCTTGTAACACCTATACTGATATGTAGTAACACATGTACGTGTTGCCAAAGCCCCTTCCTGCTGTAGTGAGCAGGCCACAGGAGCGTCAGATCCGATAGTGGCGATCCTCAGGAGTACCTCAGTAGGTCTGCAGCTATGGGTCTGTCAGTGGTGGGGCTTGGTGCCGCAGTGAGTCCTTTGGCTAGGCGACCGTGATGACGACCACAACAATGGCGTGGGGTCGCTATCGGCAGGTCAGGGCAGTTTTAGGCAAAATTTTGTGGTGAATATAGGTGAAATTTTGGGGATTTTTTTTGTGTGAATTGCTGTGTGAAGTACAAGAATTTTGGGGATTTTGAATGTGAATTTGAATTTAGGGACTTTTTTTTTTGCTGAAAATGCATCCTATAGACGAGCTTCATAATATGCCTGCATGTGGAAATGCATCTCCACTGACAGGTGTCCTAGTACGCTCTCGCCTGTGATTTTGATTTTCACCGCCGGCTGTTTCCACGCCTTAAAAATTACTCCCTCTGTCCTAAAATAAGTGCAGTTTTGCATTATTCACAACGTTTGACCGTTCGTCTTATTTAAAAATTTATATGATTAGTATTTTTATTGCTATTAGATGATAAAACATGAATAGTACTTTATATGTGACTAAATATTTTTAAATTTTTCGCAAATTTTTTAAATAAGACGGATGGTCAAATGTTGGGCACGGATATCCACGGCTGCACTTATTTTGAGACGGAGGTAGTAACGATTTCTAAGAGTCGTTTGGTTATAGGCAGTGCTCAGATCCTTCTGCGAAAACTCCATTTGACTGTCTAGAAAATTGTTTTTTATGGGTGGTGTTTGAATCTTCTAAAAGATGAAGATAAAGATTAAGTGGTTCACGTAAAATGATGTGGTAATAACATATGATTAATTGAGTTTTAGTTATTATAAACTTGAAAAATGGATTAATCTCATATTTTAGAACAACTTTCATATAGAAAGTTTTTATATGAAATGCACCATTTAATAATTTGAAGAGTGTGCTATGAGTATCCAAATTTTCATCCACTTGTTAAAGAAGAAACAAAGGGGACCATAGTCTTGTATCTACTGCTGATCCTGACCCTCTACTGCGCGTGCCAATTCTACTTACAATTTCAACGGGACAAGGAACTACTCCCTCCGTTTTGAAATGTTTGACACTGTTGACTTTTTAGCACATGTTTGACCGTTCGTCTTATTCAAGAACTTTTGTGAAATATGTAAAATTATATGCCTACATAAAAATATATTTAACAATGAATCAAATAATATGAAAAGAATTAATAATTACTTTAAATTTTTTAAATAAGACGAACGGTCAAACATGTGCTTAAAAAGTCAACGGCGTCAAACATTTCAAAACGAGGGAGTAATTAACGAAACTCGTCTTCCCATCACCGAGGTTATAGCTGGGTAGCATAATTCCCGCAGAAAAACTATAGAACGGTGTCCCGTCGGAGGGACAATGTAGTTAATCACGTTCATCCATCATTACACCTGACGCGTGGTGCGCCGAGCTGAGAAGATCGCACGACGCGTGCGTACCTGTCTAGCGAAGGGGAGAGCAACGTCGCCAAATGTGCTTGTGCCAACCTCAAAGCTAACTAGAGGGCAGCAGTGTGCAGGCTAGTGTCCTAGCTACTATTCTTTCTAAGTATCACCTGCAAAATAGTTGCAACCATCCCAGACCAACTCTTCTCCTATTATCTTCTTCTCGACTTTCATTGCTTGTAGATATTATTCATATGTATCTATATGATATATATCTCGCCCTTTTTTTGGTTTTTCTTCAATTTGTTTTGCGAATTTGGTCAAATTTTATTAAAATTTAATCAAAATTTGTTAAAATTCTAAATAATTTCGTGCAAAAAGTTCCAAAAGTCTTGAAATTGCTGAAATTTAGATTTTTTTCTACAAGTGTTAACCCTGGATACGCCTACAATATGTATTATACAGATTAAATATAGACGATACCCATGAAACCTATATGGTACTATGATATCTCGTGGTACCTCCAAATATCATGGGTACCAGTACCATGGTACCTTGTGATAATCTATGTTACCCAGATACGGGGATACGGACACGGATACACGACACGGCGATACGACATTTTCCAAAAATTAAGGATATGGGGATACGCTAATATATATAAAAAAAATAAAAATACAGAAAAGTAGTAAATTGAACAGGGTAAAAATAGATTGTGAATAAGTGCTAGACCACAAATAGTGCATAGACCACAAATTAATAGTTCAACGGTATATCCAAACATCGCAATGACCATATAAGTTCACAAATAACAAGTTCACATCCAGCCCACAGGGCACAGGCACATAGCTAGTTTATAAATAACAAGTTCACAGCCACAAATAGAATAATTAGGATAGACCGATAGACTTGTTCAAGACTATAAGTTCAATTCAATAAACGAACGGGAAAACAGATCGGCGGTGACAGTGCTGTGCCGACGTCAGAGTAGGAGGCGGCGAGGCACAGCCCAGTGCGCGGCGCCGGTGCAGCTCGGCGGCGGCGACGGTTGACGAGGCAGCCCGGCAGCAGCGACGGCACTGGAGCGCGTGAGGGGCGTTGGTGGTGACAGTGTTGGGCCAGCGTCGGAGGTGGAGAGCAGTGTGGCGGCGCCGGCACAGCCCGTCGGCGGCAATGGCTGATGGGGCGGCGGCGGCGCTGGAGCGTTGGGAAAGAGAGGCGAGAGTGAGAGTTGAGAGGCGGCGCAGGCTGGGTGGATATGATGCCCCCCACACGCACGCGGGTTTTGATACCGACGAAATATTAGGGTTAAACGAATCGGGACCGTATCGGAACGTCTCATAAATGTATCATGAATTACTTTATTTATTTTAAAATCAGGATAAATACCGATACGTCCCGGACACGTATCCGGCCGTGTCCGATACGTGTCCGTATCCGATCCCGTGTCGGACACAGACACGCGCCTGCTTTGCCGTATCAGTGCTTCATAGGTGATAATTCCTTGAATGTACCATAGTGCTTACACAACGGGATACCGTTGCAACGGGATATTTTAAGTGACTGTCCCTTTTCCTTTTCTTTGTCCCCGTGTGCTCCCTGGTACCTGATACCTGGTATGTCCACTTGTACTCTCTGGTACCTGATACCCGGTTTGTCACGCCCCGAACTAGTCCCGACCGGAACTAGCCCGTGACGCTCCAAATTAACCTGTTAATCGATACCAGTCCCAGGAAACAGTGCTGGTATCACAGGGAGACAGAATATCACAGCAACAAAGGTCTCTTTATTATAGAGTAGATGTACAGTCATGTTGGGCTGCGGACAGATCCCGAGCTCACAACTGCATTACAAAAGGAAAGCGGAAGCCAGGACTTGGACCAATCAACACAGGCGCGACTTGGGAACTAGGCCGAAACCCTAAAACTCATCGTAGCCGGCTTGCTCCTGGAAGAACTCCTCATCAGCAGGATCCGCTTCATCTTCTTCAGCAACTGGGGGGGAATTATTTATATAGAGCAAGGGTGAGTACGGGAGTACTCAGCAAGCCATGGGAAATAAGTGTTTAATGCAGGCTTCAAGGAAAGGCTGGTGTTTTTGCAATTAATTTTATTTGAACTCTTTTCTGAAACAACTAAGTGAGTGCTTCTCAAACGACACGGATGAGACAGTGCGTCTCGTCCGGTCGGAGTATGTGCAATGTATCAGTCTTTAGAATTTAAACAAGGTTGGCACCCGGCCAACAGCTTTTTCAACGGCCACCCAGGCCAACAACTTTTCAAACGGCCACCCGGGCCTACAACTTTTCAAACGGCCACCCGGGCCTAGCTGATCCCATCAGCTGCAGATTTTTCAAACACCGAACCCCTTTTCACACAGCAATTTCACAAGCAGTAGTCAAACCAAACTACGCTAGGAATCACCTCACATCCGCCCATGACCGTGGGCACGACTGTTCGAACAGTTTGTTAACCTCTGCAGAGGGGGTACACTTTACCACACGACATTACTAACCCGGATCACCCAGCCCGTGGGGATCAGCCACGTCGGGAGACCTCCAAGCTTTCATGACAAGGCATTTCCAAAGCCGACACAGGTTTACCATATGCCGACGAGAGGGGTCCCAGACCAACAACAGGTTAGGTCCCAGACCATACTGTGCCAGGAAGCCCAGGGGTCCTCCCCGACACCACCCCGGCGAATCCACATGTCTCTCGGCATCAAGGCTCCCCTGATAAGCTAGTTACTCAGCCAGGGGTGTCCCATTCCACCCATGTGGTCGTACTTGTCTTATGTTTGGATGAAATTCCAAGGAATCGGTCCTTAAGTGCGAGAGCGGGAAACCGTACACCCGGTACGTTTCCCGGTCTGCGGTTTTGGAAATTCATTTAGTTCGCAAGCACCGACCCAGGTGTCGGGTTTTCCAAGTCTTTTGTAAAACTCCAGTTTTACCCAAGTTGTTACTCAGATTTTAAGTTTGAAGGCGACCGTCGATACTGGCACAGGGTGCACGAATATCGAGGCGCAACTGGATGGTTACAAGGGGAAATGGTATAGCAATTAACAATGGAAGGATCAAATGCAACAAGTTAGGTAGGTCTGCCAATCTGCCTT